CATTGGATTGCAGTTGAATCCCCACAAAATTGCAAACGAATGACTGGCTGGTTGGCTATCAGTTTACAGGGTCCTTTTAAATAACATCTGACCTTTGTTGCCAAGTCATATTCTCAATTTCATAGTCAGTGTAGTCTTTTATACAAGTCTACCTGATATTTTCAAGAGATGTGACCATCTTGTTTCTGCTGCTGACAATGAGCAAAACCTGCAGTATATTTGTTGCCTTTTGTGTCACACTTTCTTAGAGAGATCTAGGCACAATTTGAATTTGTTTAATTCTTAACTTTTTTAATTATTAAAAGATGCTTGGATGCTTGGTAGTGATTGTGCCACTTATATATTGTACTGTAATGGACAGGTGTCATTCTGTCCTTATTATCAGCTCAGTAAATAGTTGGAAATGATAGGAATTCAGAGTCTTTGTCCATTTATATACTTAAAGGTCTGTTTCCTTCTCCTGATGCAAAAGTTATTATCTTGTTAACATTTTCAGTCATATCTGGTTCTTGTTATTGAGTATCTGCAGCAGTAATAGCTAGGTTCACCATACAACTGATGGGACACAACCATAAAGAAACAATCCCCTGCACCACCAACATCTAATATTCTCTAGCCAATTTGAGCTAATGGAGATTGTAAAATTAATCAAGATGGTTTGGATTATTTCCCTGAGTGACAGGTCTCGGGTTTAACTAGATATCTCCTGAAGTAAGTAACTTTGCCCTTGAAACAAAATACTTGTGATTTCGTTTCTTACACTTTATTGAACAACATGTACAAATTCATCATGAAAAATAACTGATACTTCAAATGTCTTTTTATGCTTTGCAGTTCTTGTTTTGAAAACATAAACACAATCAAATGCAAAATACAACCTTGGACCTTATACACGAGTGATTTCAACTGGTTAACTTCTTTACAGTCTGGTTTTAAGATAATTACGGTAATCAAGCCATAAAATCGTTTTCAACGCTGACGAATGTGGCAAACTTTGCACAATACGAGACCTTACATACCTCTTAATCGCTCTAATCTTGTTTAATAAGTTCAGGATTTTCTTCTACAGTAATCTCGATGGTTCACTATCACGACAGACGCTTTGCTAATACGATTGGACTTTAACCTACTTCTTCGTTCCTGTATGATTTCTGTCACCATCAGATCAGTCTTCTGACTGTGTTTCGTTCTGCTTGGCCACAAGAGTGTTTTGCTTGGATATTATGGACTGATCAGTTGTGTTACTCGTGTTTCTAATAGCTTTGTTTAACCCTGTGTTTGATTTATACTTTAGCTGATACGAGTGCTCATAGTTTCCCTTTTGAGTTCGATCAAAGTTTCGCTTGTAAGATTCACTCGTAAAAGGTTCACCATTTATAAACCCAATGTGAGCTTGGAGGATCGACGAGCTGACTTCTCGAGGGGTCAAACACTCTTCGCATTCAGCGTCTACACAGCTTACTACCATGTGCTTACTACGACGAGTATTAGTCGAAACTTTCTCGAAGGAAAATCGAATTCTATTTCAACTTCGCGGCAGTTACTTCGGAAAGTCGACAGACGCGTCCCAGTATTATCTCGGGAAGTCGATAGCAATTGGTCTGCCGTTGACATATCGACTTATTTACATCTGAGTGAGTGACAAATTTGCATATTCTGACCCCTGATAACGGTCGTTTCTACGCTTCGCGTATCCACAACCAAAAATAAAGTGGGTCAAGGAATCAAAATTACGCTTCTCTTTGTTTTGTAGTTAATCAAAGGAAGATCTATCTTTCTTGAGAGATTTATCACTTGTACTCTCACAAGTGGCGGTCGTCACCGAAGCGTTACATTGAATTTGTTGATAGGTTCGTGACGGAAGTACAGAAATATGATAGGTGATTTGGGTTGATTGATTGTGAGATCGGAGTTACTCGTGAGTAGGATATTGAAAATGCTGTACATCAAACCAGTGTTTGTCGGGAGATCATTTACGATATGGCCATTAACTCACTTCTCCTTTAACCTTTCGTCAACAGATTGTCTGGTAGATGACAATTTTGAATAACTTCAAGTGTTAAAGTGAGGGCTAGACACGAAAGCTAAAATTACAGGAAATGGATAGCAGACCGTAACAAAAGCGACCACTTATCATTTTATTGCCAGCGGAATTTTGAGGGGGGATCACATGGTTTTAAGGTGAACAGTGAGGGGCTCTGTCAGTCACGAACAGACCTTAAGAGGCACTGTAGAAAATCGAGTGTTTTTATTTATTTATTTTTTTTCCCATTCACCCCTATTCCCTTCTTTAGAACCTCGCCACGCATGCTACATTCACCAGATAGGGGTCAATCATTCAAATTCAATTGGTAGAATGTAGGAAAAATGTATGTAACCTGATATTCCATTTGTATGTGCTTGACTGTCGTGCGGCTGTAAAAGGAACTTGTTGTTCTGCTTAGTGTCAAACTGTTATACTTCAAATTCTGTTGTATATACCAAGGGCAATCATGAAGTGGAATACCTCTTGTTGATCGCGTGAATACGGCTAGCAAATCCCACGACCTACAAAAGATTTCTAGTTAGTTTGTATTTCATCGATGTTTTTTAGTGTGGATGAAAGACAACAACGATTAAAAAAAAAGTATTCATTTTCGAACAAAAACGCAATGGTTGGTGAGTCTCGTACGATTCCCCTTTAGGAGATGACTTAGGTACACATCGTGAGCGCAATTCACGAACACATTTCGTCAAGGATGGAAACATACCTCCAAGGACTTTTTTATTTCAATAGTTACAAACATTAATTAAGACATACATTTAACAAAAAGTTCTCAGTCTAATCCAATGCAGCAGCTTCCAAGATTATCTCAGTTGTATGTCAAAGGGCTTATACTATTTTGCGAAACGAAACGAAACGAAACGAAACGAAACGAAATCGGGTCAGATGAAATAAAACAAAAGGAATAATACAGATATATTTTCCAATAAGGTAAAGATAACTTTCACAAGGATTTTGGAGTAATCGTTCATTAACAAGAAGGATTTTTATTCATTTCGCAAAATAGTAATTTTAGGAGAGTTACTATTTTGCGAAATGGACTATTTTCACCCTGCGGTGACAACGTGACCTCTTTCATGTCGCCAAAAATACATTTAAACATTACAAATTAGTATATCAACGAAGATTTTGGCCTCCTCTTATTTCTTAAACCGTATTAAAATATATTTCGCAAAATAGTAATTTTAGGAGAGTTACTATTTTGCGAAATGGACCATTTTCACCCCTGCGGTGACAACGTGACCTCTTTCATGTCACGAGAATCCATCTAAACATTACAAATAAGTATATCACCGAACATCTTGGCCTCCTCTTATTTCTTAAACCGTATTAAAATGCGTTTCGCAAAATAGTAATTTTAGGAGCTTTACTATTTTGCGAAATGGACTATTTTCACCCCTGCGGTAACAACGTGACCTCTTTCATGTCACAAAAATACATTTAAACATTACAAATTAGTATATCACCGAACATCTTGGCCTCCTCTTATTTCTTAAACCGTATTAAAATATGTTCCGCAAAATAGTAATTTTAGGAGAGTTACTATTTTGCGAAATGGACTATTTTCACCTCTGTGGTGACAACGTGACCTCTTTCATGTCACAAAAATACATTTAAACATTACAAATTAGTATATCACCGAACATCTTGGCCTCCTCTTACTTCTTAAACCGTTTCAAAATTTATTTCGCAAAATAGTAATTTTAGGAGAGTTACTATTTTGCGAAATGGACTATTTTTACCCCTCAATAACTTTCTTTTCGGGTCACAAAAATACGCTTAAACATTTCATTATAGTATATTCTCGAAGGGTTCGGTCACCTCCTCTTTCTCTATCCAGATATAATTAATTTCTCAAAGTAGTAATGTCAGAAAAATTACTGTTTTGCGGAATAGCTAGGCTATTTTCACTCAGCGGTAACGATGTTGTTATTCTCGTGTCATTCAATAGGTTTTCGGTAAGTTTCAATTTAAAGCACTATCAAATCTCAAAAGGTCTAAGCTATCTTCACCTATATAAACGTCTCCTAAGTTTATTTCGCGAGGCAGTAATTTTGGAAGAATTACTGTTTTGCAAAATGGACCATAAATGATTTAAATGCCGCCTGAGAAAACTGACTCGTGACAGATTGGGTTTACAGGTCTCGCCTTTCCTTGTACGTTAGTGTTTTAATTAGCTGTGGTCTGTACTTCTTCACTGCCAAGCAACAAGGCGGTGTTTTCCTTTCCTCAGCTTCAAATGATTAAGTAAGAGCCAATTAATAACTCCATCTCAATAAACATGCAACAAGAGGTTTGGGCTAACAGGTTCATTTAATCAAAATCGACAACTGTGTAGTACCGTATTGCGTGACGCCGAAACCAAGTCAAGAGAGCCCCGCTGAAGGCCCAAACCGAGGTTGTGTCCAATTAATGACATGGGAGGGAGCGGAAAGTAAGAGGTAAAAGCTGTTTTTACTAGCGACGGAGCTATTCTAGGGGGAAGTTGGCATGTTCTCCTGAGAGATTTGAAAGACTCCATTTCGTGCGTTTTGAAGGGTGTGCACTGTTTCGGTGCAAAACCAACATGACAGTTTTCCAGTGGCGGCTAAACATGTTTAGACTCTCCGTCTCGTATAGAGAACAGAAGCATACCCATGCCGAAATAGTCGTCCAGCAGTTTTATAATCGCAAGTAATACAGTTACTTTGCTTCAAAATTTTTAATAAAAATAATATACATGGAAAAGTTACGCGCTTCTGATTACACCCCGTCGCACACCTCTTCCTTACGAGCAAGAGATCGTGTTTCGCATTTGCGCAAGTTCCACGTGCTGCAAGAAGTTTGCTTTCTGCTCGCTTTGTGTGCTGCTAAATCAGGCAAGATTATGGCTTTTAAATTTCCTGTTCTTAAGCCCATGACCATCGACTGTTCACGTCTTCCAGTTCATGATTTCAAGTGTTTGACAAACAAAGAAATCATTGGTAAGGGCGCTAATGGTGCTGTGTTCACTGCTAACTGGGTTGTGTCCTCGTGTACCGGTACACAAAGGAACGAAACATTAACGAATGCGTCACAACTCCATGTATGGATATGAAAACAATAGGAATTCCCCCGTGTACCGGTACACCAGGACACCAGGACAGCCCCGCTAACTGGCAGACTGTTCCTGATGCGGGTGGGAAATCGGCCGCTGCGGAGAATGTCGTCGTTAAGAAATTGCTCGGTGATGACATATTGGATAAGAAAACGTTTGTAAAGGAAGCAAGAATCATTCAAGAGTTGAAACATCCAAACATTGTGAAGTTCAAGGGAATCTGCAACAATCCCTTCGCCCTTATTCTCGAGTTCCCGCCCGCCGAGTGTAAATAATCCATTTCGCAAAATAAACATTTTTCGGAATTACTACATTCAATTAGTTTAGAAATTACTACATTAAAGAGGAGGTGACCAAGATCTTTGAGAATATACCATAATGTAATGTTTAAATGTATTTTCGTGACATGAAAGAGGTCACGCAAAATAGCAACTCTCCTAAAATTACTATTTTGCGAAATATATTTTAATACGGTTTAAGAAATGAGAGGAGGCCAAAATGTTCGGTATATACTAATTTGTAATGTTTAAATGTATTTTCGTGACGTGAAAGAGGTCACGTTGTCACCGCAGGGTGAAAATAGTCCATTTCGCAAAATAGTAACTCTCCTAAAATTACTATTTTGCGAAATACATTTTAATACGGCTTTAGAAATAAGAGGAGGCCAATATCTTCGTTGATATACTAATTTTTAATGTTTAAATGTATTTTTATGACATAAAAGAGGTTACGTTGGTCACCGCTGGGTAAAAATTGTCCGTTTCGCAAAATAGTAACTCTCCTAAAATTACTATTTTGCGAAATACATTTTAATACGGTTTAAGAAATAAGAGGAGGCCAAAATCTTCGGTGATATACTAATTTGTAATGTTTAAATGTATTTTTGTGACATGGAAGAGGTCACGTTGTCACCGCAGCGTGAAAAATTCCATTTCGCAAAATAGTAACGCTCCTAAAATTACTATTTTGCGAAATGAATAAAAATCCTTCTTGTTAATGAACGATTACTCCAAATTCCTTGTGAAAGTTTTCTTTACCTTGTTAGAAAATATATCTGCATTATTCCTTTAGTTTTGTTCTATCTCACCTGATTTCGTTTCGTTTCGTTTCGTTTCGTTTCGTTTCGTTTCGCAAAATAGTATAAGCCATGTCAAAGTCAACTTGTTAATCGTTTCACCTTAAGGGAGATGGAAACAGTTAGTAAACCTTGGCAAAGGTGAAATTCTTTAGTAAACCTTTTAGGGCTGAAAAACCCCTTTTCAGGCCAAATCACATGAACAACAGTTATGACTATGGAAAGATAAAATGATTACTGAATGAGCACTGTATAGCAAACGCTTCAAGAGATGTCGGAAATTTTTACAAAAAACTGTCACTCGTGTGCAATTTTACCATCCAGTATCTTGGATGGCTAGCGATTCCGTATAATTTGGAAAAAGCCACATTTGATTGATACACGTTTTCCAGCACTTTAGGGCAATTTGCAATTGAAGATCGAAAGAAATCCGGCTTGCTTTGTTTTTGCTTCGTGATTAGCTCAGAAAACTCGCGCCACTCTCTCAACTAATCAGATGCAAAACTCAAACCATTCACGACTTGTCGCCCGCGTTTTCCCGCGGTTCAGGAAGTTTAATTGGTTTTACTTTGAGTTGTCACTGGCTCTTAAAGTTATTTCATTTCTTCTGGTTGGCCGTTGTGATTAATTTGGTGTTGGTTTTACGAAACTCGGCCCAAACAATTACGGTAAGCCATTTATGAGAACCACAAGACTCCTGCTGAGGACCAAGATACTCGTAAAGCCTTTGTCATAACACATATTTTCATTCTCAACCAAACAATTCACTTTTGCACCCCAAAGACTTTGCATTTCGTCTCAGTTTGAAAGCGAGGAGGTTTTTAACTTGAAATTGGCACAAACTGATTTATTATTTCATATCTATCAACCTGACCGCAACACCGAAACACCGAGTATAGTTACCCAATGCAACATGACGAGCTTTGCTCAAGAAAAGAATTCTCACCAGGGATGCGTAAAATGATCCATAGGCTTGTCAAAGTAAAGCGAGAGGACTCAATTAGCAAGTGAAAGCGAGGTGTTTGGCTTCGAGCGTGAAATTAATTAACGTTAACAATTAAAATGTAAACAGGCGCGAGGATCCGCGCGGCTTGCGCGTTAGGAGTGCTACGTAAATTTAGGACTCTTTTGCACAATTTTCTCTTTGAAAATAACTACGCATTCATGGCGTGAATGGCAATTTTTATAATTGTAGAATGATTCAGCGACAAGAACGGCTTAGCTAAGCCGTAGTGTGTCATGGCATTTGAGGATAGCCTGGTTGTAGTGCTTGACATGACTATCAAGTAACAGTTATTGTATCCAGTATGTTTTGTTCGTGATCTACAGATTTATTGGTTTGTGACGCAAAGAGCGATTATCTGTTCTGTCACGACAATACCAAAATTAAATTGTGTTAGCCAACTTATATTTCACTCTGATCAGACCTTTGACCCTAAGTCAACATGGAAGCCGGTGAGCCGCTCGGTAAGGACCTTGTTTTCAAGAGAGATTTCGACTGCAGTATGTTCTGGAGATACAAGAGTATCATTTAACACTTGAAACGATTGCGTAGATATTTTGATAATACTTTTCTGGCGTCCATACTGAGGAGCTCTTTCAGTATAAAATATCATTTTAGTAAGTCCCAATCATCAGGTAAGCGCGGGAACTTATCCCGCGAAAATTATGTGCGAAGGTACGAGTGTATTCGGCGGTATCTGCGAAAAGGGGCCATCGTTCTTTCCTTAAGGTAAGGTCTTAACTGTGTAAAACTTCGCGAGGAAGAAAGTCTACTCGCTGGCCTGTCCAATTTGACTTTTAGATAAGGTTGTATGCCTGATAATTTCTGTCTAGAGCTATATGATGACGCGCGATAAATCTCGCTGCTCAATAACCTTTGAGCGGAAAATGATGATGCCCAAACCATTTAATCAGCAAAGCAAGGTTTACCTTTACTTCTGTGCTTTCGAAGCAAGAGAAGGAATTATTTCTGTAATAGTTAGGTGACAGATGCTTAAAATCACATGGTGTATTATCCAACTGTTGAAACCTAACATGAGCAAGATGAACTAATTATGGAATGAACCCTGACATCACAGCTCAAATATTCCTTCCCTGAGATGACGCGCTCTTGGCAGGTTAGTGTGTTTTCTTACTAATCGTACTGTACTATTTCGCAGTTTCGAAAGCAGAATATAAGCTAATAAAGGAATGGCATGGCCAAATTATAGACAGTCTAGTTTTCCTTAGTGAAACAGAACACCCTAAACATGAATAGTTTAGCCAAATGAGAAACGGTCTAGTAACCCATGTTGAGTTGGAACATGAGATTGTGAAATGGACTAGCTCAATTACGAATAGCTTAGCACTCATTTGCAATACAGTACTCAAACGGTGTAGCGTTGCGTTAAACGGCTTAGGGTAACGTCGAGTAGCACAGCCTACGCACAAACGGTGTAGCGTTGCGTCAAATGGCTCAGCGTAATGTAGAATGGTACAGCGTACACACATATGGTGTAGCGCTGCGGGAAATGGCTCAGCGTAATGTCGAATGGTACAGCGTACATAAAAACAGTGTAACGTTGTGTGAAATGGCTCAGGGTAATGTCGAATGGTACAGCGTACATACAAACAGTGTAGCGTTGCGTGAAATGGCTTAGCGTAATGTCGAATGGTGCAGCGTACATACAAACAGTGTAGCCTTGCGTGAAGTGGCTTAGCATAATGTCGAATGGTACAGCGTACACACAAATGGTGTAGCGTTGCGTGAAATGGCTCAGCGTAATGTAGAATGGTACAGCGTAGACACAAATAGTGTAGCGTTAGGTCGAATAGCTTTGCAAAACATCAGACGCTCTATCTGAACATTAAATTGCTTAGTATTACTTGAAATATTTCGGTGTTGTGGCGAATCGTCGTGGCGTGACGTGAAGGCCATGCCACTCCTTTATTAGCTATGCTATCCTACAACTGATTCTTAAGCCATCTTTGTATTTGCTGTATCTATACGACATCCTTGTATTTTTGGTGGTGACGGCCGCCAAGGCATCTCGCCGAAACCACCAAAAATACAAACCGCAAATGGAACAGCGATCTGATGGGGGCATGACGTCATCGAATGCGAAGACTGACACGAAACCATTACATGGCGTAGCCGCTGTATGGAATAGTCTTCACTTCGCCTTGCCGTAAAGCAGAGCCAATTCGGTAAGTTTCTCCTCTTTTTTTCCCCGCCGATATTGCATTTATTCGTTTTCGTTCATGATAGTGTTAATTAAAATAGCGAGACTGGATTCTACCACGGTTTACCGGCCTCCCGGTTTACCACAGTTTGCACGCGTTGGTGGGCCTGAATATGTTTATAGTATTAAGTAGTGTTATGACGTGCATTAAATGTCAATTGTCGAACTCCCTTTTCTTTCTGTGACTCACGCTTACTTTTCAATGAGAGTCCAACTTCAACGGCTCTTTGAACACTGGAGGAGTACGTGAGAAGTTGAATATTGTGTGTGCCCTGGACGCCATGGTAAGAAAACTGATATCCTTGATCTGTTTTGACATTCTTCAATCAAACATGTAGTGTGTGCCAAAGGAACCTTTTTTCCGAGTTGGTTTTGAGCACATACATACCCTCCTTGATGAGGCAGGTCTGCCATAAAATTAGTAAGAAAACTTTCAGACATAAAAGAGGGTGGTAAAGGGAAAATGTCTAGAAAATATATCTAAGACATACTTAAAATTACTTCCCACCTTCGCGGGTGTCCTTCGGGAAAAATTCGTTCACGCGCTGGTTTCACTAAAATCCTAGCAAACTATATCTATCAGAAGAAAGCTTAATAACTGCAGATTACGATAAAAATATAATTTAAGCGACTTTCTTTTGAGGAAGTGTCAAGAGCCGGTAAGGCGTGATCGGGTATCGGATGCTGTATCATGAGCAAAATGGCTGCACAGTCTCATTCACAAGGCATCAATTAACAAAAGTGTGTCAGGCTTTTTCGATATTCTGATTGGTTGTGTCGATATCGGCATCTTTAGTTGGAGTAGGTAGAAATATGCGAATCGTGTTGCGTAAATTGACGCCACAGGACAAATGTTTCAAATATCAAAATTTCCCGACACACCTTCGTTTGTCATTATTCCTGGGATGTTTTAGCGAAATGTGACGAAAATCGGTCAAATCTGTGTACCCTATAAATTCGCTCAAAGTAGTGGTATTCCTCCTAAAATCAAATGCCAGATTTTAGCTCATAAAGGTTCGCAAACAACTAGCGCCACGCCAGGAGATTATCTGGCCCCAGGAAACCGCAAACCAATAGGACAATGGAACCTCCTGGCGTCAATTACTATGGATCAAGATTTCGCGGTAAAAGTAACCCATTGCAGACTTTTTTTTTCTTTTTTTTTATCTCGATTGCTCAGTGGAGCGTTGTGGAGGACGACACAATAATGAGCAAAGTTGTCAAAGGCAAAGGAAAAACCCGCTGCAAAAATTAAAAAACTGCAAAGCTGAGGGGCAAGACAACGAATCGACATACAGCTTTCAAAATTACGAGTCGAGGCGATTTTTAATGTTTTTGTATCAAGACTAGTACTTGCATTAAAAAAAAGGAAACTTCGTTTTTAACATCATGTATGGCAAAAGTTGGTTAGGTGGCGTTCTCTTTGTTCGAAATCTGGGCGCCAGCGTGAAGCTCCGTTAGTACTAATCGCTTTCACAAAATAATTTTGTTCCTTACTTGAAAGAGTGGTACTCTTTCTTTCTTCTTTGGGCCTGCCTTTTTTTTCCTTTTTTTCTCCCAAGGACTTTCTTCCGCTGTTTATTTTTCCATGAGCAAAGATTTTTCCATAAACGAAGAGCTTCCACGTGTGAATTTTGGAAAGTGCGCGATGTAAACAAAATAGGGAAATAACATTAAAATCGAGCCTCAACATGAGCGGTTGCCGCGAAAATTCCGCCAGGGAACTCACCCAGGTCCGAGATAATGACACTTTCCTGATTTATTAACTTTTATTTGAAAATACGTTTTTCTACATAGCTCGGGTGCTTTTAAAGATATCCGATATTTTTACCATGGAAACATTTGATGGAATGTTTGAATTCAGTTTTGTCAAATAACATAAAAATCGATTTTTTAGGTCTCTGAAGGTAGGAAGTAACCTTAAACTCACGATTTACAGCAAATTAAACATTCATTTGCCGTTTCACAGAAAATAATTTTACAAAATCACGCTTCACGACAAAAAGTTTCATATTTCAAGGGGAAAACAAAGGCTGATCACGAGTCATGAAAATGCCCTTTACCGCACTCACAAAACCATTTGAAATGTACATTCTTAACACGATTGAAAAAGCGAGTAAGAGCTTGAATTTTAAAAGACACAAACTTTGCGGTAGCTTACGGGAGGAGCTTTCTTCCAGTTGATATGATTGTTTACTTACGCTGTAACCTAAAAGTTGTATCCGCGTAAGGTTTCAAAAAGCATTTAAGTGTTAGATGATGAAATTAATGGTAAAGTAAAAATTTTCGCTTGGAAGAGTGCCCGGGGGAGGGGTTACTCCCTTATGTGGCGTATACTTGCCGCTGGACAGGGTATTGTTCTCTGGCCTCTCTGTTTTGAACAGGATCTTAACTTGTCCGGGTATGAATAGGTCAGGGTTTGAAATCCTTTGCTGCACGCCTATACCCCTCCCCCTGGGGGAAGACATTTGTCTACATGGCTGTGTCCGATACCGCTGCATCAATAGGCTATCTGCCAAGACCCCTAAAAAATTGTGTTCATTTCAGCTCTCCCCTTAAAGGAACGTTAAGCTAAGTTCTAAAGTTAAGCTTGAATATTTGAGATAAATTTTGCCGATTTACCTTATTTAAAATTATCTCGAATTTCAGAACAATTCGAACGTCAACACCACTGTTGCTGAGTTGCTACAGCGAGCAGCCCAGATGATAAGCGATGGGAATACACACAGCACACCATCGACGAACATCCCGGTGGCGGGCCCATCTAGCTCAGTTGTCGACGAGCACCGCAGGTTGTTCAATCGACAACTGGTAATTCATGGCTTCTTATTTCTCCCATCAGAGGTTCAATGCGCTGCAATGCGCTACGTCCACGCTTCTACCACACTCGCTAACACTTTGTACCACACTTGAGCATACGTGTAGCTTCGAGAGGGTCGTACGGCAAGCGATGTACGTCAGTAAAAATGTCTCTGCACGGACGAGATCTCTGGCGTCGAGTTGTTGTGCTCTTTAGACCGTAAACCTTTTTTACATTATTTTAAACAAAATGAAAACGTCTACCATACAGGTAACTCTGTTTGGCATGCTTGAACATTAAATCAATCTTAAAGGCTTTCGAGCTTTCTCGTTCTCAGAGGAACCGTCCTGTCTGGCTTATGAATCAATTTTCCTACGCTATTGCGTATTTTTCTTTTTCTACACCCGTATGCAAAAGTGTCCTTCGCCCGTTAGGAGCGACTTTTCTCTTTCATTTGCGGAAACTTTACCCGCGCCGATGCATTTCATTTTCACTTGATAGTATGTATTCCACACGATCAACTTCTCATAAAATTCAGAAATGTACTCTGCTTTTATTGAGTCCTGCAAGAAAGGCATTAACAGAGGCATTTTCTCTAATAATATTTTTGCCACTTACAGAGGGTCCACCCTTACGCGAGCAGGCGGCAGAACCGCGTAACCAGTTCCTCCCATAGAGTACAGAGAGTCCCAGAAAATAGAGGTAACTGATGATCACAGATTTTTCTCTACATACGAAGGGCCTTTTGCAAGACCTGGATAGTTTGTAATTGACCCAATACCGAAAGAGATGTGTTGGCCACGGTCTGGAAAGATAAATTGAATCTCTTGTAAAAGTACAGCAACGAGGCCAAGAAACTAACAATAAATGTCATTTTCACAGAAATTTACGCACAATCTTGCGATTTATAGCTTAGCTCTCTCAAAATAAGTAGTAGGCACGGATGCGTTTCTCAAAACCCGGAAGACAGATCGGTTCCGAGAGCGACTATTTGAGTCCATTTTCTTTCAAGTGGCGCTGTAGATTTTAGTCCCGTATAAACTAGCCCATCTTCTTAATCAAGTAGACATTATACTTTCAAGCTTTAATAAACACCAAAAATTGACTGCATGAGAAAATAAATAGCTTTACGTAAGTTATCAGGACTTCTGGAACACTAGTCCCAGGGCCTACAAGCCAGGTATTCTGAACTTGTTAACTTGAACTTTCCTTGCAGCCGGAAAAAGAACAAAGCAACAGCATCCTATGTTTAAAAACATTTTGAGGAGGTTTTAAAAAGTCTTAGAAATGAAGCAGTATTGATAAATGTTCCTCACCCCTTTTTGTCATTTAGTGGGGCTGATTTTGTGCATTCTATCGTTCACAGTATTTGTTGTCATCTCCAAGTTATCGGAATATCAACTTCCTTTCGAGCTAATTCGCGTGAACATTCACATCTTCTTACGGCGGCTGTAGTTTCATAGGTTAATTGGAGTATTGTTGAGAGAAAATGCATTTTTAATTCGGTGCGCACTTGTCTGTCACTAGTCCTTCCACTAAGTGTAACCCCAAACATTGCAAATATCTTTAAAATCATACATAAGTTAATTTGCATGCAGTATTGACCTTCTCTCTGAGGGAAAAATGACTGCTGAACTCCATTAGGATGACTTTTTTGATCTGTTAGAGTATGAAAACAGGATATTAATTAAAAGCAATTGTTACAACTTAAAGCAATTACAACATATTAATACAACACTACAATTTTCAACAGAAAAAACCATTACCAGAACTTTTGTTTGTCTCGCTGGGCGTGACCAGCTCACCGTTCCAACCAACCGCGAGAAGCTTTTATTAAAAGAAAATGGCCTTGGAGAGAAAAAGTTGCAGATCCCCACGAATGCATCGAAGGAGCAGGTCAAGGAGGTTTTGTACAAGTGAGTTACATAATTCTCAATCCACTGGCTTGCTTAAGATCTCAAGTTCCTTTTTTTCCTAGTCTTTTAGCTCCAGCCGTTTGTAAACCGATTTCTTTTGTTTATATTTCCAGGGCCTTCCGTCCATTACAAAGTTGTGGTGGATTCGAAATGCTGTTGTGCGCAGACAACTCGCGCACTAGGTTACAAGTTGTAAAGTATGGGTCGTGCAATACCGACGAACTTAGGTGTTTGGGCATGGGCCGAGTTTATATTCGGCCCATACAAGTAGATATAACTTTGGGCGACATAGAGGATGATGATGAACATGCGGAGGAGTGTCTGCTTTGTAGGGAGTCTATCCCATTGCTCGGGATGCGAGCCCATATGGAAACGTGTCGGGTTTGTGTTTTGCTGGTGACGTTTTTTTGACTATTTCTGGGTAGAATATGGAGCCTTCTGCTAATACCTAATTTTTTTTTGGAATAATTTTTTTGTAGGGTGAAACAAGGCCTACAGAAACATCCGACGATGATCTGCCGCCAGCATTTGGAGAGAGGGGGTAAGTAGAAGTGGTCACCGCACTCGCATGGTGGTTATCGTTTCCACGCTTTTAGAAAGTACTAAGAGTTGTTTTCGGTATTTCACGTAGTTAGAAATTCCTTTTTGTACGCATTGTTTAGCCTTAATTTCTTAAAAGATATCAGTGACATTATACTTTATATTAATATTTAACATGGGGCATTGTGCTTAGCCTGAAGGTAGTCTTTATACACCAATATAATCAATATTTCAGAGAGGAAGAACGAGTTAACCCAGCAGAACTGCCCAATTAGCCTCTCAGTGGCACTGAGCAGAACTCACTGGAACTGCCAGAACAGCCTCCTCGTAGTACTGATCAGGCTTCAATAAGTCATGACGAAGCAGCCGCCTTTAAGAGTGAGTTTCTTAGCCATGTTAAAATTACCGATTATTTAGGTGGCGCTGAAAAGTTTTTCAAGTGCGTCTAAGGGAATGATACGCCAATCCTGTATCGTTTTCATGCACTAACCGTGTGTACATCCATTCTACTCTGCTGTTGCCGTCATACACTAATTGACAGTTGATTGTAACATCATGAACATTACATGAAAACTTCTACCATTCCGCTAAAAGCCCCCTCAAATAGTTATTCCTCGCTATCTACCCAGGGAACCTGTCCCGTACGAGGAGCATATGAGAAATGCTTTAGAGGAAACATTAAAAGCTATCTAAGTACAAATTGATAGAATTATGCTTGGTACATTCTGCTTGACTGTCTTTTGCGTACCCTACAGTGTAGTTGGTGTTAGTGTGTATGAACTTTTGCTGTGATATCGTTTTAAGGGAAGGAAGGGGGAAATTAGGCGTCCGTCCAATGATATAATGTGCTAAGCACAACCTTTTATGTGCAGAGATCCGTTAGTTGATTTTACTACTTTGACTTTGGCACTCAACTATTAGTGTAAGAAGCTAGATACAATCGGGTCGACTGCTCGTTAGTAGACCGGTTTAATGCAGCAGTTACCGGCATACTTTTGGGAATTATTCAAATTTCACGGGCGTTACGCCTCTTTGGTCATTTCAAATTTATTTCAGGGCTACTTGTGACGAGCCTGTTACAGTCTTAGGGGAGTTCAGGCGAAAGTTACAGCGAGGGCGAATGCTTGACCTTCAAAACGACTCTGAACTGTGTGAGGGAAAGACCACGGAGATATTTGTCTCTCGTTACCGCCTCTTCGATGATGCTATGGAAGAGATATTGAGGAATGATCCGCCAGCGATTGATTTCAGTGTACCTTTAGAGGTGATCTTCACCGGTGAGGGCGCTCAAGACTATGGTGGTCCAAGGCGGGAATTTTTGGGCATGGTGATGCGCGATATACCTGACAAGCTCTTCAAGGAAGAAGGAGAAGGCTACGTCATTTTTGAGAAAAAAGAAGCACTAGATAGGAAACATTATTATGGAGCTGGCCTCTTTTTGGGTAAATATGCAAAGCCTACTGAGACACCTGTGTCATTTTCACTTGAGCACACAAGAATTTCAATTTACCTTTTTATTGCAGGTTTCAGTTTGTTGCAAGGTGGTCCTTTGCCTACTTTCCTTGCTGAAGACCAGCTTCAGCGAATCTTCAAAAAAGATGATTTGACTAATCTGGGGGAAGCAGAAACCCAATTTCGGGTAGGACTCGAGAGATTCGGACTCATTGAGGTAAGATTTCACAGTGACCGGTTGTAGCTGATGGTCTAGTCTTCACCCTTTACTTAGGCAAGAAAACCAAATTTAATTATGACTATAGTGGAACCTTACAATACCGACTCTCGCCAAATACGGACAGTTTCTCTTCAAGCGCTTCCGACGAAAAACCCCACACATTTCTTTTACATGTGATAGGCAGTTGTTTAATCCCCTTAGGATCTCTGCAGTCTGGGAGCAGGTCTAAAAATGGCTGGAGAAGAATAGGGACTGTATGTAGGATGCCCTCTCTTCCCTTTGATCCTCTCTTACTCACACAAGAGATTTGTATTCCCTTGATCTCTAACAATGTTACATAGATTCCACACTTTCCGAGGAAATGAATCTTGCTTTTCTCTTAATCTGTTAGCTCCTTCATGGGAAACCGAGTCTTTCATTCCTCTTCCGAAAGACAGCAGTGCTGCCTATGACATACCCCAAACTGGTGAAACTGCTGGACCCTATTTTTTCCGACGAGGCCAGCAATCAAAGGCAGCGGGAAGAGCGAACATACAGACTCTTCCTGAATTACTTGAAAGAGGTGTCAGGTAACTGTCGTTCTCTTTTCTCTAGTCTAAGAAACATCCCCGCTGGCTAGACAGTTGTAACTTTGCTTTATGCCAATCGAAATTTTCCACAGAGCGCGTAAAAAAGAACTGGGATTCAGAGCTTCATGAGTTCACTGCTAATTTTTGTGTTTTTCTCTTTTCAGCTGGAAGGAGGGTAGATGGCAATATATCTCTCCATAGCATTTTAAAGTTCGTCACTGGATGCGAGAACGAGCCTGTTCTGGGTTTCCAAATGAAGCCCTCTATTTGTTTTGATACGAATATGCCATCTTGCCTTCCTATTGGCAACACTTGTATTAGCAGGCTGACTTTGCCGATAGGTGAGAATGTATCAATGACCAAGGAAGAAGTATTCTCTTTCTTTGACTACGCTTTCGCAAATGATTACTTTGGCCGTCTCTAAGTGAAACTACTGATTTCTGATTGATTCTCTTTGACAAGGTGTTTTTTAATTTATAAGTTGAATTTAGTTTACAGCAGCATTGTTGAGGCGAAAATTCGTATTCATTACACAAGCTTTAAAAGTCTAGTTAAAAAAAGAGCGCTAGTTTAGGCTGTACACCAAAGGGTCAGTTGGTGCAACTCATACAAGCAATATTGTGTATGTTTGTGTTTGCCCTTTATTGAATTCTGATTATGATGAAGATTTTAATAGCGTGGAAATGGGCCTGAGATGAACGAAATGAAAATACATTGAAAAGAACAAAGTTTATGTGTTAATGTTGCCAAATACTCATCCAAACAAAAGTAAAGCGAAGGACGTTTATTGCGCAATTTTTTAAAGCCGTTACGTTTTCACTTACTATACTGTTTAAACGTCCCAATCGATACATTTTGGTAATAAAATGTTATCATTTATGTTATCTGTGTGCTGTCTATTCATAGTCAGACGTTACAACCTCTAACTATTTCAGCACCAGTTCCACTCAGCTTAGGTTGGGGTTTATCGCAACCTGACATGAAATCGCAGATTACGATAGGATACATTATGAGTGATGCCAAGTGTACTCATTTTCCCGGTGTAACCGAAATAAACAAAAAACAACACATTGTCCAACGAAATAGAAAAGTAAGATGATAGGATGGGGGGAAGATACTTTAACGTAAGTGGCGTACACTGGTGCATTATACAAAATGTTAAAACCTAGGTTTTCAGACGATTCATCGTTTCCAGTGCATGCAGATATGGTGTAATGTCCCATGGATCTTCGCCTTGGACTTCTGACATGCTTGCCTCAAAAATCGTAAACAACTCAACATCTAACGGACACCGTGTCGGTGGGACGACAACCTCATTCTGTAGTGCATCATCTGTGCCGTCATGAAAGTAAGCCGTAGGATCCACACCGTATCCCTCCAAGTCCCTCTGAAATATAGTTGAAAGGAGATTCAAATACCGCAAAGCATTGGTTATGACTGCCTTAAATTAACTTTGCAAGCAAGGAATCTTAGCATCGTTTCGATCGTGATCTATATTTAAATTGAAGGGGTGGTTAATTAAAACTCAATATTTAGTAGAGGCCACTTGAGATTATTCAGCCGTGTGGCTTTAATGCTTGGGGAACTGTGTCTGTCATATGCATTATTGCGTTTACCTGACTAAGGTTTTGAAAGTATTCTGATGCCACAATACCACTTTCTTCCGCAATTTCTTGCATCCCTAGTATGAACAGTTGTAAAGGACTTTTGTTTCCTGCAGTACGTATTTTGTCATTATTCCAGGATAGCACAAATTTTGAAAGGGCCTCGTTGATTATTGGGAGATAAGTGAAGTGAAGGCAAAATAGATGCCCTTCGTTGTCCGGATCGAGCTGACCGCATGCTTCGAGAGAAAGGAAAAGGTCGTAAAATGAGGATAGGACTAACTGGTACACATCGCGCCAGAGTCTTTCTATACGCGAGTTGTGCACGCTTCGTCCGGTGATGTAACTCCCTCTTCCGGGCCCTCTTGCTGTATGGTTCAACATGTAGTGTGCCACGTCTCTGTTTTCAACTCCCATGTCGCCCCTGACTCGTGATGGCAATCCCCATTCAGACACCGCACCCTCAAAGAGACGCAAGGCTGTGACAGACGTGTTATTCGTATCGCACTTAAGATAAACGACGGAGCGACTGTAACCGTCAATGCAGCCGTGAACCACGAATCGCCATCTAAGAAGAGAAGGAATAGAGTGGTAAACCGAAAGTATATGAAGGGGGGAGCGGGGGGGAGGTTACTCCTAAAACAAATGGTGCAAAGTTATTGAGACCTGAATTACAGCAACAATTATGTCATCAAAATAGTGAGATAAGTGACAGCTACCGTATCAGTTTGTGATTCCCGTCCATATGCCAGAGGGCCAGTGGGGAACGTACGTTATACACTCGTCTACGGATGGCATTCATAGACCTTAGCCTCCTGCCAATGGGATCGACTCTCTTTATGGCACTCCTTATTCTCCACCTCTGCACATGTACACCTTGCGAAACAAGGTAACCCTCGATTGTTTTGCAACCTGTCAACAAAAATAAGGGTTTTAATTTCAAGCACCCTGTGACACAGTAGTGAAGTTAATGCCACTTGTCGTGCTTTCTTGAATTCTCTGTTTAGAGGATACAAAGTGTGTTTCTGATATGCAAAATTTTGTGTAAACACTACGGCGGGCTTAAAAGCTCTTGCCTGTAAGTTGATTACGTTTTGAATCAATATACTGGAAGAGAACAGCATACGGGATTTTCAGAAACGGTCTCGAGTGTACGTCTATACTAAAAGAAGCATGTTTGCGTTTGCTAAGTGTGATAATGTCTACGTTTCTTGAGGTGTTCAAGCAATAACGCGTATCGGCCGAAAAGGTTTAATTAATTTATGCAATCTGAAAGAAATAAAGGCAAACGAGAAAATTTCCCAATTCAGATGTTTATCATGTCTAGTTCCAGAGGAATAAATTGTTGCGTCATTATGTACTGGTTCTCAAACTATTTTTACCAAGCTAAGGGCAAAAAAATCTTTATTTTTTGACTGAACATGACCGGCGACAACCTCAAGATTTTTATGAAGACTTACTTACCCGATCTAGGGAAATTTGTCATGATACGCTGGATTAAAGAATCCAGGAAATCGTCCTCCATGTCACTGTAGCGGGACTTGTTCGTCAACTCGTACTCGGCCATACGGTTTTCAATAGTTCGCTTGCTAACCCCAAGCATTAGAGCCATGTCTTTATACGTGAAGTTGTTCTCTAACAAAAAGATAACTAGTGTTCATAAAAGAAAACACAGTCCTTTGAGAGTAGATAGTTTACACTGAAAATTGAATGAAACCTTCAAAAGGTGAACTCACTAAAGATGTTATGAATAACCAAAAAACGGGGTTTGGCGAAACCTATCAACTCGAAAAAAAAAGCACTCACTTCATATGGGGCATATATGGATAGTTTCAAATGTGTCTACCTTATTTTCATTTCAAATTTTCAACCTGAAAAAGTGAAAATGGTAAAAGCACTTTTTCCTCCTTACCTCTGAAAAATAGCAGCTGCTTCTCGGAAATCGCAAACTTAGGTCTTCCTCGGCGACCTGCCTCACTCACTGCTGGTGCTTCATACCCACGAAAAGGCTCTTGTTGATGCAAGTTTACGTTCAGGTGTGTACGAGCTTGATTGATTAAGTCAACCGCATCTAAAGGAATGTCCCCATTGATCAACGCTGCCTCGTAAAGAACCTCCAGTCTTAAAACAGTATTCTCTGAATCACCTCCACGATTTCCGCCTTCTTGTATATATTGAGTTATTTCATTTAGGGAATCTGATAAATGCTGACGAAAGTCCATGACTCTTAACAGTACTGAAGGACAACAAACAACGATACCTGTGAAGAAAAAAATTCATAAGATGGAGACGAGCCACTTATAAAGCAAGCACTAATTTTTTTTTCTTCTTTGCTCTTTCATCATCTGGAAGTTTTCTTTGCTTAGCCCTAAAGGCAAGAAGAGAAACGTTACAAGTCACGCAACTCTAGTCAATATATCTAGTGTGTATTGAACTCAGTCTGTAGCAACAATAATAATAAAAATAATAATAATAATAATAATAATCACAAAAATTAATAGTTGAGGTACAGAAATGTAAAAATAAATAAAAATATAAATAAATATGTCTACCGAAACAAACGACGAAACAGCAAGATGTCCTGTCAATTGTCTGAATTATGCAATAGTTTTTATTCAGCAAGTTGCGACTGTAACAGATCGAACGGTAAAACTCGACCTAGAGTTGTACAATTACGTACAACTACGTGCATTACGGTGTCCGCACTAGCCTTCCTTAATACGTGATGACTACGGAATGGGAAAGAGCACAGGGAAGATAAGTATGTATGCGTACAAAACCAACTCAGAAAAAATATTACCCTGACAAACACTATTTTTGGAACGCGAAAAAAACCCTTTAACTGTTTCCGGTCCAGACATGTAATCTACGTTTGATCGACAAAATAAAAATGGAACTTACTTTTACTATCACTGCACCCAGGAAAAAAATTAATAAACAAAGCAATAAAATGTACACCTCTTTAAAATAATAAATATAAACAGTCTTCTATGAGCTTACTCTTATCGTCCGGCACACCAATTAAAGCATTCCGATATCACTTTGATCGAAAAATGTCAAAACAGATCAAGGATATCAGTTTACTTACCATAGCGTCCAGGGCTCACACAATATTCAACTTCTCACGTACTCCTCCAGTGTTCAAAGAGCCGTTGAAGTTGGACTCTCATTGAAAAGTAAGCGTAAGTCACAGAAAGAAAAGGGAATTCGACAATTGACATTTAATGCACGTCATAACACTACTTAATACTATAAACAAATTCAGGCCCACCAACGCGTGCAAACTGTGGTAAACCGGGAGGCCGGTAAACCGTGGTAGAATCCATTCTCGCTATTTTAATTAACACTATCATGAACGAAAACGAATAAATGCAATATCGGCGGGGAAAAAAAGAGGAGAAACTTACCGAATTGGCTCTGCTTTACGGCAAGGCGAAGTGAAGACTATTCCATACAGCGGCTACGCCATGTAATGGTTTCGTGTCAGTCTTCACATTTGATGACGTCATGCCCCCAGCAGATCGCTGTTCCATTTGCGGTTTGTATTTTTGGTGGTTTCGGCGAGATGCCTTGGCGGCCGTCACCACCAAAAATACAAGGATGTCGTATAGATCAGCAAATACAAAGATGGCTTAAGGATCAGTTGTAGGATAGCATAGCTAATAAAGGAGTGGCATGGCCTTCACGTCACGCCACGACGATTCGCCACAACATCGAAATATTTCAAGTAATGCTAAGCAATTTAATGTTCAGATAGAGCGTCTGATGTTTTGCAAAGCTATTCGACCTAACGCTACACTATTTGTGTCTACGCTGTACCATTCGAGATTATGCTAAGCCACTTCACGCAACGCTACACTGTTTGTATGTACGCTGCACCATTCGACATTACGCTAAGCCATTTCACGCAACGCTACACTGTTTGTATGTACGCTGTACCATTCGACATTACCCTGAGCCATTTCACACAACGTTACACTGTTTTTATGTACACTGTACCATTCGACATTACGCTGAGCCATTTCCCGCAGCGCTACACCATATGTGTGTACGCTGTACCATTCTACATTACGCTGAGCCATTTGACGCAACGCTACACCGTTTGTGCGTAGGCTGTGCTACTCGACGTTACCCTGAGCCGTTTAACGCAACGCTACACCGTTTGAGTACTGTATTGCAAATGAGTGCTAAGCTATTCGTAATTGAGCTAGTCCATTTCACAATCTCATGTTCCAACTCAACATGGGTTACTAGACCGTTTCTCATTTGGCTAAACTATTCATGTTTAGGGTGTTCTGTTTCACTAAGGAAAACTAGACTGTCTATAATTTGGCCATGCCATTCCTTTATTAGCTATGCTATCCTGCAACTGATCCTTAAGCCATCTATGTATTTGCTGATCTATTTGACATCCTTGTATTTTTGGTGGTGACGGCGGCCGCCCATAGGCAGAATCCTGAAGATACTCTCGTTCTTTTGTTATTTCTTACCCACTCTCTCGGGTAATCAGACTTATCTCCGTGAGGGAAGAACCTTCATTTTTTAATTTGTTTCCCGGTTTTGTCATTCGTATGTGAGCCGTTGTTATCTGAAGGCAGAACCTTTCCTTTTTTTTCACCTGGTTCTGTCTCTCTTGGGTAGTCAGTTCTGTTTGGGCTGTTGTTATCTGAAGGCAGAACCTTTCCCTTTTTTCCACCTGGCTCTGTCTCTCTTGGGTAGTCAGTCCTACTTGGGCTGTTGTTATCTGAAGGCAGTATTTTCCTTTTTTTTTTCACCTGGTTCTGTCCCTCTTGGGTAGTCAGTCCTGTTTGGGCTGTTGTTATCTGAAGGCAGAACCTTTCCCTTTTTTTCACCTGGTTCTGTCTCTCTTGGGTAGTCAGTCCTATTTGGGCTGTTGTTATCTGAAGGCAGAACCTTTCCCTTTTTTTCACCTGGTTCTGTTTCTCTTGGGTAGTCAGTCCTATTTGTGCTGTTGTTATCTGAAGGCAGAACCTTTCCTTTTTTTTCCACCTGGCTCTGTCTCTCTTGGGTAGTCAGTCCTGTTTGGGCTGTTGTTATCTGAAGGCAGAACCTTTCCCTTTTTTTTCACCTGGTTCTGTCTCTCTTGGGTAGTCAGTCCTGTTTCGGCTGTTGTTATCTGAAGCCAGAACCCTTCCCTTTTTTTTTTTACCTGGTTCTGTCTCGGGTAGTCAGTCCTATTTAGACTGTTGGTATCTGAAGGCAAAATCTTTCCTTTTTTTTATTTGGTTCTGTCTCTCTTTTGTTTCATTTTTGACTGTGCGTTTTCATCTTATGACAAACTAATTTTGAATTGCGACATAATTAAATTTACTTGTCTTGATTTTTTTCCTTTCCAGATTTAATTGAACGTTAACCGCGAAAAGCCATGATGAAAGCAATGTTTGTTTTAATAAAAAAAAAAATGGTTTTCCTGTTTAGATGACCAACCAACCTTAACTTTATTACACATCATACGGTGCACGTTCCGTTGACTGGTAATTTTTACGTCGATGTTGTGTTTGCCTTGGTGGTGTCTGTCCTCAAATCCCGTGATGTTTCAATTAAAAATAAATAACGAATTTAGGAATGAAATTACCAACGGGTAAAATACCTTTTCTCGTAACGTATTAAATTACATTTTCATTTCCAACTCTTGCTTCAGACACGAGATGTAAAATCGGTCATAGATTGTAAAAGAGATTCGTGAGTAAAGAACTTTTTCTACTTGTCTTTGTTTATTTTCTGCAGCCTTATACATGAGGTTCGCTGTGTTCGCAGTTGCGCGCCAGGAAACCCCAGCAGGAAAAATTTTTTTTAAGATTTTACTCCTTTAATGATCTCTTTAAAGTATATTACTCCCTTAGCATTTAGCCAATTATATGGTGCCGGCGGCACCATATAATTTCTTTACAGACCAATATTATCGGAAAAAACCCAAACAAACAAACAAAACGAGTTCTGTTGCGCTGTGTGATCCATGAGTGTTCTCATCGCGGTTAGGGCTTGCTGTTGTTTGCGGTATTATTTTCCGGAGTGGACATACCATAACTACATTTTTGTTAGCGTTTAAAAATCGGAAATACATGGTTTTGGTAAAAAACTTCATCTTTTTCAACTCTTAACGACTGTCGAGTTGTGTGTATCAATAGAGTGGGTCAGCAAATTTGCATTCTATGTTGCGCAAGGGGCAAGAGAAAATGGTTGACTCCCCGCGAGTGAAGCTGACGCTCTAGGTCGATTTCGATCCATTATTATCCTTTGTAAATAAAATTTCGATCATGGAGTTAAATTATAAAATTTCTTTGGCTTACATTGTGCGCGTTAAAGTAAACTTGAGTTGTTAGATCCACGCGAGGGTTTAACCTTGAAAAATGCAATCACGCGAGTAAAGCTGACATTAACGCGCGTCCCTATCTGGAAAACATTCGTATTGTGACAAGAAGGGTCTACTTTAAGGTTTTGGGTTACTCTCGCCATGCAATTTGGACGCCGAAAATTGCCAAAAAAGTAATTACTGAAAATTCATCCGCAACACCTCGGTCGTTCTGTGGGCGCGAAGTCAGTTCTTCTCTGAACCAGATCTCAGATCCGCCTCAGCCTCATTTGCATAAATTCTTTTGGTGAGCAAAGCTCGTCATGTCAACTCTTAATCAGTATTTCCTAACGATTCTCATTAAAATTTGAATGTATATTTACAGTATGAGCTTCGCCTTAAACAGGTGTGTTAAAACGAAATGCTTGTGGAAGAGCTCTCCATGTTGGTTACTTCATATTTTTTTAAGGTAAGTTTTAGTTGAGAATTATTATTTTTAACAATTTATAAATCTTGCAATCGAGGTTCTATTACACAGACGAAGAAAAAAGGTCTTACAAGTCCGGCAATTGAAATGCAGGGTAGGATTAGAAGATCTCCACGCCAAACCAGCAGTTTGGGCGAGCTCTGGATAATAATACCTTTTTCTATTTTTGCCATGAATCCCTCCCGTTGTTTTTTTTGCATGGAGAGTCTCAATCGACTGAAAATACATTTGAAGCATATCTATGACAAGCATTTCGACCGTACAGATGTTGAGGACGTTTCTTTATTTTATCCCCACAATTCTTTGCCGATGGTCTTCGAAACATTTAAGGCCAAGCTTCGGGCAGGTATTCTAGAAAGGAAAATTTGATCGTAGATCGAGAAGATTGATTTATTACTGCCCCTTGATTTTGTCGTGGGTAC